ACATATTTTTGTAAAAAATTAAAAAGTCATTCCAAACATACTAATTTTTTTATCTTATATTTTAGCCAAAAAAACCAAAAAGTTACTTTTAAAAGTTTGTTTTCAAACAAGGCCAACCCACCCTAACCCATCATGGAGTGCTGAATCAAAATTTCTCTTTTAAACAATAAAATATTTTTGTTTCAAGGGTTAACCAAATGCCAAAAAACAAAAACAAAAACATTTTATTTTGTGTAAAATCAATTTTTAAGATTTTTTTTTGGTGTGGGTGTGTGTGTGTGTAAAATTACGTCGAGACAAACGAGCCTAAGACAACTTTGTATAAAGACATTCAATAATCAATATGATGCGCATAATTATCAATACCATGCCACTATCAATACTAGTAAGCCCGAAAAAAAAATACATATATATATACCCAAAAATTAGACCAAAAAATTTAAATGTGTGGACTAAATTTACGGAAGTTGTGATAATCCTGACCTTTCCTTTGGAAAGATTGGGCAGCGAAAAGATGAGAGTGGAAACAGGGGCAGCAACCAGTGTGAGGGCTAAGGAACCCACGAAAAGCCCTGGAAGATTACCTAACCCTAATGATATCGCACCTTCATCGCGTAATGGAAGAACCACAAAGTATGCACTTAAAATCTGTAAATCAAAAATTTGAAGAATAATAATTACAACAAGCATAGAAATACCTAAAAAGCACAATTAAGTATTTCCTGAGACATTCTCAGAAACCAAACACATCACTGATGAGAGAGAGAGAGAGAGAGAGAGAGAGAGATTACGAAGAAGAAACAGGAGGAGGAGTAGAGCAATGCGGAGGTCTCGTGAGGATGAACATTGACGAACAAGGACAAGATCGCTTCGATGCGAGACTTGTTCATCATTTCTTCTTCTTCTTGTTTTCTGTCTGTGACAAATGAATGGATCGGAGAGAAGGAAGAAGAGAACGATGGATTTGGATTTGGAATTTGATGGAGTTTGTGATCGTAAAACCTGCTCTTGGCATTTCTAGGTACGAGGTCAACAGGCATCAGCAATTTTCTTCTTCTTTTTATTTTAATATTCTTCTTCTTCTTCTTAATTGTTAAATCGTTCACACAATAGTATATTAAACCCCTTCTTATTGTTAAATACACCCCTCTATTTTACTGCACTTCTAAAATAAACCCATCTGTCTAGCGCGTATTCATGTCGTAATTTTCACGTGCATTGGATTATAAGTTATGTTTTATATTAATTATTTTTATTTAAATACATTTATTTTTAAATATTTATCTATTTTAAGATTATAAAATAATTTGCAAACTCGACTCAACTTGATTCGAGCATGAATCAGAATTTTAGGTTGTTTAATAAATATGCTGAGTTTATTTTTTATTCAAATAATAATAAGAAAAAATATTATTTTTATTTAAAAAAGAAAACTATATTATTTATATTAAATTATATAAAATATGTATATTCAATATATTTGTATAATTAACATAAATATAATATACATATATATATATATGGGAAATACTATAGTGCACACATTTTATAACTAAAAGTAAAAATGGCATAACTTCAATTTTTTGAGTCATAACTTTATAAAAAACAAAACAAAACAAAACAAAAAAAAACTTACTAATAAGTCTCGTACATAAAGTTTAAAATTCATCTAGTCTCAAAACCAAACACTTTTACTAATTAATCTTGTATATTTTTAATTGTTACCAAAAAGTATTATTTTTTTTAAAGACACCATAACATTCCACCACCATCTGACTTCCATCAGACAGTCATTGGAGACTCACCAGAATATTTAACATCACTGAAAAGACTTCGGAATATCACCGGAAATTCGTTGAAGTATCGCCATAATGTTCTGAACGTCACCGGAAGTCATTGGAATGTCTAGAATGTTCGCTAGACATCAAGAATACCGTCGGAGGCTCACTGAAATGTCTAGAATATTACAAAAAAAAAAAAAAAAAGAAGAAGAAGAAGAAGAAGAATAAACTGAGAAATCAAAATGAAAAAACAAAGCAAAAATGTGCTAAATATTAATAAATTGACAGAAAAAGAAAAAAAAAACTAAGAACAACTACCAGTAATAATGGAAATATATATATGTTATTTTCAATTTTTGTAGGATTTAAGTAAATAATTTTCAATATTAATCAAATTGAAAATAAGTTTTGAAACTGTAAAATGTTACAGTTTCAAAGTATGATTCTATTAAGTATTTATCCTTATTAATCAAACTAAAAAGCATGTTATGAAATTGTAAGATTTTACAGTTTTAAAAAAGTTATGCAACTGTAAAATTTTACAATTCTAAAGAATGATTCATTTCAACACCTAAAAATATTGAAATTGTAAAATTTTATAGTTTTCACTGCCTGTAATAAAAACTCGAAAATAACTTGTTCAAAACTTGAAAAAAATTTCCATTATAACAAGAAAATAAAAATGTGTAATGTAAAAAGAAAAAAAAAAGATTAAAATTGAGAGATCGAAGGAAAGAGATATATATAGGCCCCGTTTGGTGTAGCTATTAAAACAGCTTATAGATTATAACTTAACAGATTATAGATTATGACTTTAATCAGAAGTTGTTAATCTGTTTGGTGTAGCTGTTGGATTGTAGATTTAAGTTGCTGAGTAGTGTTTGTTAAATAAGCTGTGAAATAGCTTTTTAATTAATTTTTATTTTTTGTTTGTCTACATTTCTCATAAAAAATAATAATAATAATCTATAGTCCATTTGGGTCTTTTTCTATTTTTAAAAAAATAAAAAAATAAAAAAATTTAAGAGTATAACCATAAATTAACATATCCACAGCAGAAGCTGATAATCAGAAGGAAGGAGTGAGCAGCTTCTCAGAATCAGTTTTTTCTAGTTAAAATAAGCTATTAGAATCAGAAGCTGTTTGAAATAAGTTTAACCAAACAGTCCAAAATAACTTTTTCAAAGCTAAAAGCCATAAGTTAGCTCTGAAAAGTTGAAACAAACACCCCCATAAAGAGATGCTTATACTCCGATAACTATTTTTTAGTTTAAATCTAGCCGGACTTAACGTAGATCTACTCATTAGATTTGAGTAAATTTACTCATCTTCTTTGTCGTCGGTGAGCGCAAAGAAATGAGTTGGTACTAGGTGGTTGCTCGTGAACCCCAATCAATGGTGGTCTTCGGTCACCGGTGACTGTAAATTAGAAAGAGAAATATAAAGAAAATAAAGAAGGCGTGATCATCGTGGTCGTCGCCAATATCAGAGAAAGAAAGATAAAGAGAAGAAGCAAGATGTAGAAAAGAGGAGAAGATGAATGTGTATAGGATTTTTTTAAGTCTATCTAAAAGGTTTTGGAATTAAATAGAATATACACTTTTCAAAAAAGACTTGTGGGTAATTTGCCCCCAAAAAATAAGGTTTGGCACAGACTGTAAGGTGTTGTTGGGCCGGTGTGGGCCTACTACGGGTCCCTTTTTGATAATCTGAACTGTTGGATGTGTAGAACCTGTCGAGTACTATTTATCTGTAAAAAATCACTTTGATCGGATATCGATAACTGCGTGATCAAATCAGTTTTGCATATAAAAAAATGAAAGGTGAAAAAATAAACGGTTGACAAAAATCAAATCCGATGACATAGTTATTGATATTTGATTAACGTGATTTTTTACAAGCATATTATACTTGATGAGTTCTATATATGGAACGATTCAAATTATCGAAACGAGACCCGTGATGGGCCCCCATAAGCCCAACAGCACCCTTTAGTCCAATCACGGATTGGAGGGAAGCCAATTCCTAAAAAATATCATAACTAAAGAACAAAATTGGTCATAACTAAAGAAAAAATGACATAACTAGGGTTTTAAAATTCATGAATCAAACAGAACAAACACAACACAAATAAGATTTTCTGAGTACTTATAAAAGAATATTTTATTCAATTCACGACCGTTAATAAGACTACCCAGATGAAATATTCTTGTGACAATATAATTAGAGATGCATATGTTATACCATTTTTAAAAAGGTGTATATTAAAATTTCCCTATATATATTTGATTAATATAAATAATTGAAAAAGAAAAATCATTATCAAGTTTTGAGCCAAATTCAAATTTGATTAATATTAATAAGTCGAGCTTATCTCTAGTTGAATTTTTTAGCTCAATATAACAAAAATTTAATCAACTCAAATCTATCTGGTTCGTTTATTATCGTAAAACTATTTTATTATATATAGGTGGTGTTTGGGAAGCAAGTTCCCAAATTTTTTTCTCATTTTTTCCACTAAAAGACAAAAGTTTTGCAAAACCAAAAAAAACACATCCAAACAAAATATCACATCCAACCCCATAATCGTTTCACTTTTTCTCTCACAAACATCACATCCAACCACATAAAAACCCAACTATCTTCCCAAACACCAAAAATTTTTTATCTCATAAAAACCTACATCTAATAAAATCTACATAAAAATTCACTTCCCAAACACCATCATAGTACACTACTTACTTGGTAACGTTGTCATTTATTTTTTTTATGCTCAAATTATTTTTATATGACAGCCTTTGTTTTTATTTTAAAATTTGATTTTGCACACCCAATGTGATAAAAAAAAATAAAATCTCTAATCTTTTCCAAAATATAAACAATTTTCAAATTTTGGACCAAAAAAAATTGGGAAAAAAATTTGGAATTGGGGTGGCTACTGTGCGGGGTGCATAGCAGCCACTGCTATGCAGCCAATTGGGCTCTTTTCGGGACACATTTTGATAATCCGAACCGTTTACATTTTAGAATACATCAAGTAAAACATACCTGTAAAAAATCAAGTTAATCGGATATCATTTACCCATTCATCCACTGACATTTGTATCTACAAAAATAAATAACAATTGTAATTTAAAGTATTAAAATGAATACAAATGTGTGTGGATGAATGGGTAAACGATATCCGATTAACTTGATTTTTTACAGGTATGTGCTACTTGATGTATTTTAAAATGTGAACGGTTCGGATTATCAAAATGGGCCCCGAAAATGGCCCAATTGACTGCACAGCAATGGCTGCTGTGCACCCCACACAGCAGCCACCCCAATTCCAAAAAATTTACTCGTTTTGAAAATAATTTTTCATTTCATTATCATCATTATTATTATTATGTCAATGGATAAAATATTATTTACAATCTCAAGGAAATTATATCAAACATTCACCAGCAAAGATCCTTTTGTTGGAAGTATTTTTTCGATAATAATTAATTTAACAAAATAATAAAGCTGATAATAATTAAATACAGAACTAGAGTTAACTTACAACTTTCTGTACAATCAAACTTAGAACAAATTTGTGATTGAGGCCAGTGTTTGGACACTGTGTCTTTAAGACAGAAATTCATCATCTCCTAGATGCTTGAGAATAATGAACGTCCTTCCTCCAAGATTCAACAATCACCCTAAACAGATGCACCACCGCAAACTGCTTGAACAACAAACAACGTTGCTTTTTTTCGAACTCACACAAGATGCAAAATGAAGAACGTATGAAGTAGAGATTGGAAAGGAAACGGAAAAATATATATCTATGTTTTAGAATGGAGGGTTGATATATATAGGCAGAGAAGTGTCTATTCCGGAACAGAAGACCGTTGTGAAGAACAGTCACCAGATTTGGAGACGCGACTGGTCGGAGAAGGAAAAGCTTTACAACCGAAAAAATTTAAATTCAAAATTTCAGATTTTGAATTTTCCCGCAGAAAAATTATTCGAAATATTCAAATAATTTTGGAGCAAAAAACCAAGGACGGGTTTAACCCATACCCACACCCGCGCCCGCCCCCGCCCCAACCCGGCCGACCGGACGGTGGTGGCGGCGGCGCGCGTGTGGTGATGGTTTTAGTTTTGTCCATAACTCCTCCTCCTACAAAACTTGGGTATCCCTTGGGGCTCAACCCAAGGTCTCCAACTTAGAGCTTATATACTCATAGAAACACTTCCATGTTTCCTATGTGGGACAAGATTTTAGATACCAACTCATGGAAACCACACCAGACATTTTCATGTTTATAAGGCTCACTTCGGTATCAATTTCTCATTCACTCGAAAATGGTTTTGACCACCCGAGTATATATTCTTGTTCACCACATG